GTGCCCTGGATGTGCATCCCACAAATCTCCATCAACTGCAAGATGCTATCCTATCAATATGGGCCAACATTTCCAAAGAATGCTTTCAGCACCTTGTTGAATCAATGCCACGTAGAATTAAGGCAGTTCTGAAGGCGAAAGGGGGTCAAACACCATATTAGTATCCTTTAGGTGAGTGTATGTCCCCTGCATGTGTCCACGCTGCCCCACATCCCAGCCGAGCTTGGCTTCAGCCCCCCCCCCATACCACCATGAAATAAGCACTTAGAAAATAAATGACCACACACTCTTCACTACCTGTGATTCATTAACTTATTAATTAAATCAGTGATAAATGGTTCAGATGTACAGTATGAATCTCATCTACTATCTTTGGAAGCTGATGAAGGGCATTTAAACAACACAGTGCTAACAATAAATAAGTAATTTAATCTTATGTACTTATATTTGCTGAAAGCTTTTTTTTTTTTGCAAAAGTCTCATTATTCCACTGCTGATACACATTATGAAAGAGATTCTAACATCAAGAAAAACTGAAATTCAAAAACAGGCGACTTGATGACACATACAAGACAGTTTCAATAATTCACAGTGGTTCCCTTTCCAAGAAAATCTAAAAAAAAAACACGGAAAAGACACAAAATACAGGCATGTGGTTGACCTAGTTAACAATTTCAGTAAAGAATTATGAATTTAGCCGGACTCATATTTCTGGTTGTACAAATATCATCATCATATATTAAAATTTCCTACACTGAATACACTGAACACCCAACAGCTGAAAATGAATATGCAATGTCTGCAAAAATGAATTATTTTTAAATGCCCATTGCTGTATATATTATATAGAGCACTTTAAATCAAACATATATGATTACCTAATGTGCATTTATATCTTTAAAATGATTTTATTAACATTGAAATTTACCAGTGTTTACTAATATTGTAATGTTCTTAACTTATGCACTTGTCATCAAAGATTGTGTTAAAAAGTGGTACCAATTTTTTCAGTTGAAAATGCAGTCAGTTTAACACAATCCAGAGTACAAAAACTAAAACAGTTATGATTTGAATGCGCATTATAAACATTTACACAGGTCACCAGTGGCTTTCAGAGGTACTGATTCCGCTCAGAATACGTGCGGATTTCTCAGCAGTAAATAACTCTGGAGAGTTATTTACTGGTGAATTTCACTTGATTTTCATGAGCGTCTGGCATAAATTAACATTATTCACGATACATTATTGTGAAGAAGAAAACAAATTTAGGCATTTATTTTAAAAAAATTCAATAGGGAATGTGTTCAATGTATAGTTTGTGTTTCCGAAGGTGATTACTGCTGTGCTGCTGTGTGTAAGTACCCATATTTGTAACTCAAAGCAGCTGCAGCTTGGTTTAGTGAGCATTAACAATGACCAGCATGATATTTCAACATGACACCACTTCTTGACACAATATCACATATCCTTTATGTGTCTGTTTTCTTGGCTTTCCCCTGGTCCTCCACTTTCCTAATTGCATTCTGAATCTGCACCTGGTTCCCCAGTAGTTCGTGAGGTTTCACTGGCTGCAGATCACTGTCCAGTTCAAGTAAAATGGGTATCCCAGTGGGCAAAGTAACACCAACTATATCGTCGTCTGAGATCCCTGGGGGAAAAAACACAAAACTGTTAGCGTCCACCACCCCTGTTACAGCAAATACGCCCCCTAACTTCCAATACCCTTATTACCTCTGTCCCTTGGGCTCATACTTAGAAATACAGATTATATTTGTAATAAGATAATATCCCATCACAACAACACAGTTTTTATATTTTACACGAACAGAGGTAGGGGTCAAGGACAATGGAATTAGTGCCAAATAACAGGTTTTTTACAAGACGTCATACATGTACTCTTCACTGTGATAAGGCACCTTCAATGTGCTTCAGAAGGGCTCTGCAGCTGTTGCCGTGGGCTGAGATGAGAACGGTCCGGTCCTTCTTAATCTCTGGCACGATGACATTGTTCCAGTAGGGCAGTAGTCTGTCCAGAACTTGCTTCAGACTTTCGGAGCGGGGAAGCTCTTCAAGAGGGACGTCGCAGGTGAGATACCTGCGGTCGTTGTAAATGTCGAAGAAGAAGGGATGGGACTCGGTGATGGGGGGAGGTGTGATGTCGTAGCTGCGCCTCCAGAGCCTCACCTCCTCCTCCCCGTGGTTCAGGGCCAGTTCGGCACGGTTCAGCCCGATCAAGGCCCCGTAATGGCGCTCGTTCAGCCGCCAAGACTTCAGCACAGGGACCCATTCGTCGCCCATCGCCTGGGTGACCAGCCAGGCCGTCTGGATGGAGCGAGTGAGGAGCGAGGTGAACACCGCATCCAGCCGGTAGCCCTGCTCCTTCAGGAGCCCGCCGCACTGCTGGGCCTCCTTCACCCCCTCCTCACTCAGGTGCTGGTCCACCCAACTGCAGAAGCGATTCTCCTTGTTCCAGGCTCCCTCCCCATGCCTCAGTAGAAACAACTTGTACTTTGGCATCCTAGGGAGACAATGCAGGGCTGTCTGACAAAACAGCAGAGCTGGTACTGTGGGTTACATATGCACACTAATGAGAACAGAGACATACGCAATATCTGTTTCGTTATTACAAACACAGACCACAGAAACAAACCAGAGAAGTGAAGTACTTGACAAGGTGTATGTCTGTCTGTGTGTAGGTATAAGAAAACCTAAAAGAAAAACAATTTAAGTTATAGAAATATTGTGTCGTATTGTTAATTATATTATTTGTAAAATGGTCAGTATTAACCTCATAAATAGGAAGACAGCTAGATATTGTAAAGAAAAACATAAAAACATTATGTGAGGGACTGCATAATTTTTCAGATTAATAACCTTGTTTTCTTGCATAAGCAAGCATAAACGCACCGAAAATATTCGGTAAATTTACCACAGGGTAGAAAGTACATCATTATATACCAGTGACGCTAACTAATCAGGACGATATTAAGATGCCACGCCCTCCGTCACACATTTTAATCTATTTATGCCACACGTGAAAGAAATAATAGTGTCCCAATTAAATCCTTTTCAATCATTGACATTAATTTTATACATCTTAAACCAGAAAACTATTTACTCGCACTTACCCATTCAAACGCTGCTCTGCCCCAAATACCACCTATTGGCAGATCTATCCAATAGAATCACGCAGCCAAGGTCATATTTTGACTGACAGGAGAAGCCGACCAATGAAGAGCGGAAAATGCACAGGGAGGCTGTACCTCGGCTGTTCCCTGCTTGGCTGTGTACGCCATCTGTACGCGGAAAGCAGTACAACAGCGGTGCTCATTTAACTTTATAAATGACTGGTTTTATGCGCATGCTCCGTGTGCGTGCTTTGGTTGCCGTGGAAATCATTGGTGGTGCTGCGGGGAACAGCACAAATCGGTGTTTCTTTGCAATAGTTCTAAAAGGCACGTAAAATTTTACTTATGTGTGCATGTATATGGTTAATAGAATACTGTATTTACCTCTGAAAATCTTGAAACCTGCATATTGAGATGTCTTAGCTAACATCTTAAATATAAGCTAGTCTACTAACTGATGATAACATTTGAAGTACCAAATATGGCCGAAGATAAAGTCTCTGCTTGTGGTGTGTGCCCTGAGGACACGACGGACTTTTTACATTTTAATATAGAGGTGAAACTCGCATATAAATTGTGGGGAACATCCAGAGAGCCTGCCGAGATAAGCAGGGTCCCTTTGCAACGCTGTGTGTGTGTATTAGACAAAACTGAATTAAATCTTTACGTATTTTGGCGGTTGCGTTAGAGTGTTCCAGCTGGTTAGTTTTGCATTGTCCTGATTACTTCTGCTCATCCTGGCAGTAATGCTGTGTGGGATCTGCTTTCAACCGTTCAAGTGAGATTCTCGATCACAGTATATGTACAGCTTAATTTCAGTTCAGGAACTGTGGGGCAGCTGCAAACTACTGTATGGCGCTATCAGCATGTTTGGTCTGTCTAGCTCAGGGACTAATCTGAGTGATACAACTCGGGCTGCACAGCAAGACCTCAGCTCAGGGACTGCCTGAAGTCAGTAGATCTAGCTAATTCAACTCAGAGGCTGCACGCTTAAGGCCAGGATGTTTGGTTAGTTAACTAGATATACTGCCAGTCACTGAGCTAACTCGGAGTCTGACCAGCAGGGAATCAGCATGGTTGGTTAGTTAGCTCAGGGACTGATTCAACAGTAGTACGTCTGATAGACTCACCTCAATGGTCAGATAGCAATTTACCATTGTCTAGTACAGGGGTGTCCAATCTTATCCTAAAAGGGCCGGTGTGTATGCAGGTTTTTGGGATAACCTGTAGCTCAGCTGTTCAAACCCAGGTGTGAGGACTCTTCAGCTAATCAGTCCTCTAATTAGTAATCTAATTAGGGAGTTGCAGCGAAAACCCGCACACACAGCGGCCCTTTGCGGATAAGATTGGACACCCCTGGTCTAGTATAATGCAGCCACTATCCCAGTATAACTGAGTCTAGAAATGCTGCGTTTTCACTTTTAACCAGGAATTTACCAGAGTTGGCAAGCTCAGACAACCAAGAAGTAATCAAGACATAGTTTATTAGTTGGGTAAAGCAACATGCATCCATCATCAGTTAAAACCATGACACAGGGCCCAACTACATTATACACCTACAACACAGCACTGAGACAAAATGATACATACCCAGCAGAAGATGCACACTTGTGAGACAGATCTGGCTATAGATGCTAATTATGTAACACTATATGGGAGCTCTGATTATAGACGGCCTCCTTAGTATAGGCTACACATGGTGAGTATGCTAATCACACTTACCATGTGGGGGTTCTGGCTACAGAATGTCCCCCTTAGTATAGGCTACACATGGTGAGTATG